ACTTGTGGCTGCCGCAGCACCCTGAACTCAGAACTGGGGTGGGTGGGCACAGGCTTCAGACCAAGGGGCTGTGCATGTCCCGGCAGGCTGGCCAGTGTCCACTGGAGCACCCATCCTGTGCGGCCTGTCTCTGCCTCTCGGGTCCTTCCTGGCCTCCTCTCCCCGCTGGCTCGGGCATCTGTGTTCCTAGGGCCATGGGGGTCTGCACCACAGGCGGTGCTCCCGGTGAGGCCTCTCTGGCGTTGTCTGCACGCAGCATCCCATGTATGGTGGACAGGGTCCTCCTGGTGGCCTCTGCCCACCAGCACCCGCCATCGTCCCTGGCCAGTGTCCCTGGCTGAGAGCTTCGGTCGCAGTCAGCCTCGGTTCTGCGAGTAGGCCGTGAGGTCAGCCCGTGTGAGTCCCGTTTGCAGACAAGCTGGAGCCCAGGGACGTCTCGCAGCTGCCTAAGAGCCAGGGCGTGGCTGCAGAGGCTGTGCCGTGGCCTGGGTCTCCCTGCCCGGCCTCTCACTCTGCCATTCAGGCTGGTGTCTGCACCTGTCCTGGACCTCCTGGTGCGGCTGACTCAGCCTGACTCATCCCTTCCTTCGTTTTGATCCATGCCTGGGACCCAACTAGGACTCGGGGCGCAGCTAGAGGTGGGCAGACGGGCAGCTCCGCTTCTGCGTGTGGCCGGGCAGGTTACTCGGGCCCCCATTCTCGTGTCCTTCTCGGGGAGGTGGGTGCCACCACAGCCTATTCTGTGGCTTTGGGAATGCTTCATAAGTTTCCTCGAGTTCTTCATGTGGAGCAGTGGCTGGCGATGGGCCTACGAGGGCAGCACAAATGGGTGCACATGGCCACGTAACATCCCCAAGGGTCAGGGGCGCAGGAGTGCCCTGTCCCCAGGCTAGACAAGGCTCACTCACACCAGCCAAGCGTCCCCGTGAGCAGCTCTGGCAGTGTCAGCAGCATGGGACCGTGGAGATGGCCGTCCAGCTGGGCAGCGCCGTGTCCTGCGCCCGAGCCCCTGGTGGTGGCTCTCGCGTGGGGCCACGTGTCCATGGCCCTGGTGCACATTCTGGGCCCAATGGACTTTGGGAGAGCTGTGCTTTTAGCTCTGCTCCCTACGTTTGGAGAGGTTCTGGCCCACAGTCCCCAAGGGCTGGGTGACGCTGCGTGTGGGAGCACCGAGGAGCCTGGACACCAGGCTAGGTGCGGCTGAATGGGCCCCGCTGTGCTTGCCCTTTCCTGGGGAGGCTTCAGACCCAACCGCCCCTGCCTCCCGCAGGCCAGAGCCCCTCCTCTGTCCCAGCCCCCAGTGAGTCTGGGCCTGCCCTCCGAGCCTTTGTTCTCAAAGCGCCGTCCATGGCCAGGCCTTGGTGGGAAGCTGGGCGGCAGCCGAGCCCTCCCTCCAAGTTCTCCATCCAGGGGAAGCTGGGACAGAACACGGCAGTGTGGGAGGTAGCGGATGGCCCGGTGGCAGGAACGAGGCCTGGGTGAAGGACCTGAGTGACGCACAGCAGGCCTGGGGACCCGGTGCAGGGGTGGTGGCAGGCTGTCGCAGGGTGACCTGGGCCCTTGTCTGGCCCTTTGCTGTCTCTATGCCTGGAACGCTGTTTTCCAGCCCCATGCTTCCTTAGGCCTTGGTGCAGTCTTCCTTTCCCCCCATAAAGTCTCCCCGGCACCCCCACTCCATTTCTGCCCCGCACATGACAGCTGCCCGCTGCCTGGCCTTCCCGGAGTCCTCCCGTGCTGGTGTATGGATTGCTGTCTGCCTCTCCCATCCTCGGACCTGAGCCATTGGCCAGGGGCCACATGGTCTGCGCACTGCTGCGTCCTGGCATTCACGCCACAGCTCTGGGGGCAGCATTTGAATCCAGGCCCGCTCTGCTCAAGCCTCTTGCTCCCACAGAGGAGGTAGGGTGGACAGCAGAGACTCCTAAGGAGGCAGAAAGGGCCGGGGACAGCTGGGCCTCTGGACAGACCTGTGTGTGTGTGTGTATTTATTGTATGCACATATGTATGTATTGTGTTTATCACATGTATTTATGGTGTGCGTATTTATCGTATGTATATACGTATGTATATACGTATGGATCATGTGTTTATCGTGTGCACATATGTGTTATGGGTTTATCTGTGTATTCATTGTGTTATTTATTGTGGTAAAAATATATATAGTGTGCAGTGTACCGTTTTAACCATCGTGACGGGGCTCTGAGGGCATCCAGTGACTTCCCAGAGCCAAACCGCCGTGTGCAGTTCCTTCCCTGGCCCTGATCCGAGAATTTCCTGGAAACAGACTCCCGTGGACACGTGACCTGCGCATCGGTCCGGGCCTTTCCCTCGGTGTAGCCACTGCACCGCCTTCATCCCTCTGTCGGTGGCCGACACCCATTGCACGGAGAGACCGGCTTTGCCCGTCCCCTCCAGCCGCTGGTCCTCTGGGTTGCTGCTGCCGTGAGACCTGTGCACAGCGCCCTGGTCTCTGATGTGAGCGTGACCGCGTTCTCGCAGAGACGGCCCCCCACGTCCCTGGCCCTGCGCCTGTGTCCGTTGCACCAGAGACGCTGCCGTCATTCCTTGGACCCTGGAAATGGCACCTCGAGGTGGTTTAGCAGCCCTAACTTCAGTGCACGAGCGGGAAGTGCCCACGGTGGTGTCCATGTAACTCGCGCCATGAACGGTCCCTGCCGCCTGTCAGCTCCACGTTGTCCCAGCCCTGCCCTGGATGTCCTGCCCGGAGCGTTGGGGTGGCAGCGTGTGGCTGAGTGGGGCCTCCTCGCATGGACCACATGTAGCCCGGGTCTGGAGCTACTGCGTGCCCTGCGAGTGGCGCTGCCGTTTTCCCGGACTGTGGTTTGGTCCGTCGGCTTTGTTTCTCCTTTGTTCACGATGGAGCACATGTGAGCTTCCAGGGCAGGAGAGCGAGTGCTTGCCAGCAGAGTCTGGTCCACCGCAGCGCTGCTGCCTCTGTCCCTCCAGGATCCTGGGACAGCGCGTCTGTGTTACTGCTGGGGCTGGGATTTGAACCCCGTTGTCCATGTGTGTCTAGCTCCCCCTGCACTCTGAGGCTGCCTGGGTTCCTGGTCCTCACTGCTCCAGAGGGGCACGCTGGGCCGGGAGGGAGCAGGTGCATTTCCACTGCCGCGGTTTCTTTCCTTTTTTTTTTTTTTTAATAATAATTTATTTAATTTTATTTATTCATCCATTTATTTTAATTTGACTAGAGAAAGGCAGAGAGAGAGTGAGGGGAAGCGAGAGAGCAAGCTGCCAGGCCCAGGACTTGAACCGTGATCAGCCATGTGGGAGTGTCCAGTGCCTTAACCACCACGCTACCTGCTGGTCCCCACTGCCACGGTCTCTGCCGAACAGTGCCGAGTGGTGCCTGTCCCAGGGGCAGAGCTACTTCTCTTGCGTGCAGGCGGGTGGGTCCTGGCCCCCTCTCTAGGGCAGAGGTGGTCCAGGCTGTCCAGCGGTGCCCTGACCTTTGGCACACACAGGCCTGGAGAAGCAGACACAGTGCCCCGGGTGGCAGCGCTTGGCCCGTCGCAGCCACATCTCCTGCAGCTCTGCGTCTTCGCTCACCACAGAGGACACTGCATTGTCGCTGGCTGGGACTCAGGCTCAGCTCCGCCCGGCTGCTTAGAAGAGCGGGCACAGGCCCAGTGCTCTCCCTCTGGCCCACTTCCCCAGGCTTCCCAGGCCTCAGTTTCCCCTCTGTGCTGTGGAGTTCTCTCCTACCTGGGAGGGAGGGTGGCCAGCCCCCAGTGGGCATGCAGGATGGGGGCCTCTGTGACTCCTTTCCTCAGCAGCCCGGGGTCGGGAGTGAGAGCTTAGCCAGGTGCAGGCCCGCCTCTCCCTCCACTGCGGCGGTCGGGACCTTGCTACGGAGCCTGCTAGAGCTCGATCTCCCTGTCCGTGACGGCATGGTAGCGGAAGACCAGGACGAAGGCGTGCAGTAAGCCCATTCCTACATGCAGTGAGGCGTTTTCCGCTTGGGCTTGGGGCAGCACGTGGCCTCTGTGAGTGGGTGGTGGCCAAAGGCTGCCACCGTCACCTCTCTGTCCCTTGCATCGTTTTTACATTCCACCATTCACACAGACAGCGACTGAGTTCCTGCCGGGGGCGGGGATCTGTGCCAGGAAGGGGAGAGGGAAGAGGGGGATCCCGCGAGGTGCGAGGTGTCCAGTGGGCGCAAAGGTCATGACGAATGAGTCCCCCGTGCCCAGAGTGCTGGGTGGTGGCAGGTGTTGGGAAGATGATCAGGAGGGGACAGGGCTGGCTTCGTGGTTGACTTCCTGGGTGCTTGCTCAGGGCCCCGCGTCTGGCGCGATGCTCTGCTGTCCTGCCCTGAAGTCTCTAATCATTTGCCAGAATTGGTGCTGGTCCTGAGGGGACAGGTGGGGTTGGAGCGCCAGGCTGGGCAGGATGGTGCAGTCTAGGGGGGCCTCAGTAAGAAGCAGAGGAGGGGAGCGGATGGGGGACTTCGAGGGGGCCTGGGGCAAGTGCATTGTGGGCAGTGAACGGCCAGTGCAAAGGTGGTCTTCCTGTACGCGTTTCACAGGTCGGGTAGACGGGAGGGGGTACGCGGTGTCCCCGCTCGCCCACACTGACCCTCTCGCTTGGCCCCACAGGCTGACTCCTCACTACATCTACCCGCCGGCCATCGTCCAGCCCAGCGTGGTGATCCCGGCCACCCCTGTCCCGTCACTGTCCTCGCCCTACATTGAGTACGCGCCCGCCAGCCCGGCCTACGCCCAGTACCCGCCCGCCACCTACGACCAGTACCCGTACGCCGCCTCCCCCGCCACGGCCGCCGGCTTCTTTGGCTACAGCTACCCCGCCGAGCCC